CAACTGCCCCCCGAGGGGCGGGGCTGTATGCGGACGTTGATGTAGACACCCCATGCACGGACTGTGATGTAGACACCACAACGTAATGGCTTGCTACACCCGGTACGTACCACCTCTACACAAGGACATCGGGCCGGGGGTTCCCAGGGTCTCACCACTGAGCCACACAGGGTCCCAGGGTCCTAGCTGACCAGTCTTCTTGCTTCTGTCTTCAACTGGCCACGAGCCTGTAGAGGATCGGCTTATATACACCTCCCCACCCAAGGGGCGGGGTCCCGAGGGATCCTAGGACACCCCACGGCTCCCTCCTGCTCCGGGGCTCGGGATATTGTGACTGCCCCTACTGGACTATGTCAGCCCTTACAGGTAAGTGTACACAGTTCGGCATCGCCAGTCAGGCAGTCTACCATCTGTCCTGACTGGTAATCGTAGTTACTGAGTGTTAACTGTTAGGCCGTGTTAATAAACAGAGTGCATCCTACACTTAGTGTCTCTGAGTCAGTCACTACACTAGTAACGAATTGGAACGTTCTGTTTACGTGAGAAACATGATTAATTGGCCGTGTCGGGTGGTGAAGGGTTTAACGACACATTTTATCTTTATGTGATCTAACCCAAACAACACCTATATTATGGAAGTACACACAGGTAAATACATAGGTACATACACACAGGTATACAAAAAGGTACACACACAGGTACACTCACAGGTACAGACAGGTGCAAACACAGGTACACTCACAGGTACAGACAGGTACACAAGCACACAAAGACAAAGATCCCCCGTATGTCCTGTAACAAACTTTATCAATGCACAATGTTCTTGTACCTCCTGTCGTTTGCTCTCCAACACACCCAGTGTCGTGCTGTACTAGTAACGAATTGGCATCGTTCCATTTACGTTACACTAAACCTTACCGATTGGCTTTGTCGGATGGTGGCGGGTTTAACGTCACAACCTTTATACTTGTGCGATCTAACCCAACAAAAACCTCTATGGAAAAAAATAATTGAGAACTTAGCCATTATCCGGCTGGTTATTTGGAGAAAAATGCCATTCGGTCTTGGTGTAGCACGTTGAAGTTAGTGGCGGTCCCCAGACCCCCCCTTACAATCTAAGCGACAAGTAAGGTTTAAATTTCGATTTAAAGCTTTCGTGACTGCAGGGATTCATCTTCTTGGTTCTTTCGGTAAAGTCACGTAAAATGGAAATAATAAAATAAAACATAAAATAATTCTCACGTTTCGGCCACAACTCTGTCTTCTCGACAGTCCTGTTCTCCACCTGAGGACGGCTGCTTGCGTTGTGGCCGAAACGTCGTGAGAATTATTTTATTGTTATATTTTTATAATTTTATTATTTCCATTCTACGTGACTTTACCATAAGAACCAAGAAGAAGGTTTAGTGTCATGTAAACAGAATGCGCCAATTCGTTACGAGTACAGCACACCGGTTGTGTTGGATCTGGCTATATAGCAGATAGGCAGCAGTGGTATGACATGGGAGGGTGATGATGATGTGACTGATCTGCTATTGCAGATACGGAGCGGTGTTGTTAAATGGGAGGGTGATGATGATGTGTTTCTGATACGCTATTGCAGATCGGCAGCAGTGTTGTGACGTGGGAGGGTGATGATGATGTGTTTCTGATATGCTATTGCAGATACGCAGTGGTGTTGTGACATGGGAGGGTGATGATGATGTGGTTGATCCACTATTGCAGATACGCAGTGGTGTTGTGACATGGGAGGGTGATGATGATGTGGTTGATCCACTATTGCAGATACGCAGTGGTGTTGTGACATGGGAGGGTGATGATGATCTGGTTGATCCACTATTGCAGATACGTAGTAGTGTTGTGACGTGGGTGATGATGTGGTTGATCCACTATTGCAGATACGAAGCGGTGTTGTGACATGGGAGGGTGATGATGATGTGTCTCTGATCCGTTATCGCAGATACGGAGCGGTGTTGTTAAATGGGAGGGTGATGATGATGTGTTTCTGATATGCTATTGCAGATATGCAGTGGTGTTGTGACGTGGAGGGTGATGATGATGTGGTTGATCCACTATTGCAGATACGCAGCGGTGTTGTGACGTGGGAGGGTGATGATGATGTGGTTGATCCGCTATTGCAGATACGGAGCGGTGTTGTGACATGGGAGGGTGATGATGATGTGTTTCTGATATGCTGTTGCAGATCGGCAGTGGTGTTGTGACATGGAGGGTGATGATGACGTGGTTGATCCGCTATTGCAGATACGCAGCAAGTGTTGTAACGTGGAGCGTGATGACGACGCATCTCTGATCCGCTATTGCAGATACGCAGCAAGTGTTGTGACGTGGAGGGTGATGATGCATCCCTGATCCACCCCATGGTGGCTCGTATGTTGCGGAGTTTTCCCCCACCATACTTCTCCAGAGGAGACAGAGCAACACGATGAGGAGGTCCGTCTACTCATAGTCGTCCCCGAAATTTATTTTTACCGCAAGGATTCACAACGGTAGGAAGAGGCGGACCGGCCACGTAAAGCTGGGACTACTTTATTCCCGCCGCAGCACTCTCCCGCCTTTCCTGTAACTGCACGGTGGTCAGAGGTCGCAACCGGGTACCCAATACCCGTACCCTACCCGATACCTGGCTACCCGTAGCCGGCCGGGTACGAGTACCCGTTTGTGACCCTGGTGCGGCCGGGTACGGGTAGGCTGTGAGTCACTGGTGAGTAACCGTTTGTCACTCATTTCCCAACGTCTTGTCTCTTCTCACAATTCAAGTTCCTAGAATCAACCCACCCGCGCCTGCAACATGGCTTCATCCCAGAGGTCGCAATCAGGTACCCGATACCCGGCCGGGTACGGGTAGGGTACGGCCGGGTACGGGTACGGATACCCGTTTGCGACCCTGGTGCGGCCGGGTACGGGTAGGCCGTGAGTCACTGGTGAGTCACCGTTTGTCACTCATTATCCAACGTCTTGTCTCTTCTCACAATTCAAGTTCCTAGAATCAACCCACCCGCGCCTGCAACATGGCTTCATCCCAGAGGTCGCAATCAGGTACCCGATACCCGTACCACCCTACCCGTACCCGGCCGGGTACGGCTAGGTTACGGCCAGGTACGGGTCCCGTTTGCGACCCTGGTGCGGCCGGGTACGGGTAAGGAATCAAAACCCGTTTGTGACCTCTGATGGTGGTGGGGTCACCGTCCCACTCTCCCTGAAGAGTCCAAACTTCTCCCATCCAGAGACCAACTTCTCCTCCTCCTGCTGTTCACCTGGCAGTCGGATTCCGGAGCCAAATCTTCCTCCTCCCCCTCTTGCCATTTCACCTCCACACCTGGCCGTGTGTATAGTGCTGGGACTACTTTCTTCCACCGCAGCGCCCTTGACTTGTTGTAACGATGGTGGCGATCACCTCACTCTCCCTCCAGAGTCCGAATTCTCCTGCTTGACGATGCCTCCATCGACCTGGACATCTTGGGTCCCGCAATGGAATCTCCGTCATCTTCCCGTGTCACCTCCAATTCCTGGGCCACGGTTTGTAAAGCTGGCACGACTTTCTCCACCGCAGTCCCCCTTGACTTTCCTGTAACTGCACGGTGGGGTTCACCGTCTCTCTCTCTGCCTCCAAAGTCCGAATTCTCCTGCTCCTGCTTGACGATGCCTCCATCGACCTGGAGATCTTGGTTCCTGCAATGGAATCTCCATCATCTTCCCGTGTCACCTTCAATTCCTGGGCCTCGGTTTGTAAAGCTGGGACTACTTTCTTGCACCGCATCACTCTCTCGCTTTCCTGTAACTGCATCGTGGCATCATCTCACTCTTACTTCACGATAACGACGCCGATGACGACCTGGCAGCCGAATCTTCCTCCTCCATTATCCCGTTTCACCTCCAACATCTGAGTCACCTCCAACATCTGGGTAAAGGAGATGTCTCATAGTGTAAATGCTTACCCCGAGCTCTCAATACTCTGATAGTGCGCTGTCTTTGAGTTGTACGCCTTTTGGCGTCATCTGGTCCAACACCAATGGAGACTAGGCTCTAAGAAAAGCTGTCTCGGGTGTAGACCAATCAACTTCAAGGACAGTGCATATCGTTATCATCATCAGAGTTGTTTCTTTTTGTTTGCATTTTGACTGCTTGTGTTGTGGTTATTGCAAACATGATGCCTTGTATAAAGGTGTCAGTTTTTGTACCAGTTGAAAGGGTAAAAACCTATTATTATATCTGGGCCACGGTTTGTAAAACTGGGACTACTTTCTCCACCGCAAGTCCCACCTTGACTTTCCTGTAACTGCACGGCGGGGTTCACCGTCTCTCTCTGCCTCCAGAGTCCGAATTCTTCTTCTCCACGGGCTTGACGATGCCTTCATCGAGCTGGAGATCTTGTGTCCTGCAATGGAATCTTCATCATCTTCCGGTGTCACCTCCAACTCCTGGGCCACGGTTTGTAAAACTGGGACTACTTTCTTCCACCGCAGCCACCTTGACTTTCCTGTAACTGCGCGGTGGGGTTCACCGTCTCACTCTGCCTCCAGAGTCTTAATTCTCCTGCTCCTGCTTGACGATGCCTCCATCGACCAGGAGATCTTGTGTCCTGCAATGGAATCTTCATCACCTTCCCGTGTCACCTCCAATTCCTGGGCCACAGCTTGTACACTGCTACTCCCTTCGGCAGCCCCTCTTGACTTTCTCGCAACTGCAGTGGTGGCATCCCCTCACTCTCCCTCAGAGTCCGAATTCACCTCTTGCTTGACGATGACGCTTTTCACCTGGCAGTCGGATTCCAGAGCCGAATCCTCCTCTTCTTCCCGTTTCACTTCCACTCCGGGCCACGTTTCAAAGCCTCCGTCTTCCCCCGCTTCCCGTTTCACGCGAGGTGGCCAGCTCGTTGCTTCCGTCTCCTCCTCCATCTCCTCCTCCTCCTCCTCAGTCTCCTCCGTCTCCTCAGTCTCCTCCTCCCCCCCCACCACCACCACCGCCACCGCCGCCGCCACCGCCGCCGTCTCCTCGCCCTCCCTCGCGTGAGTCTTCCGGTGGGCGTTGCGCGCCGACGAGCGGGCGAACGCCTTGCCGCAGCGCTCGCACGCGAAGGGCTTCTCTCCCGTGTGCGTCCTAGCGTGCACGCTCAGGTGGGAGGCCTGCGAGAAGGCGCGGCCGCAGCGGGGGCAAGCGAACGGCCTCTCGCCCGTGTGCGTCCTCAGGTGGTTCGCGAAGTGCGACGAGCGCGCGAACGCCCGGTCGCAGCGCTCGCAGCGAAACGGCCGGTCTCCCGCGTGCGTCCTCGCGTGGTTGCGGGCGTTAGAGGCCCGGGCGAACGACCGCCCGCACACCCCGCAGTGAAACGGCCGTTCGCCGGTGTGTACCCGCGCGTGGATGCGCAGGGCGGACGCCACGGGGAACGCCTTGCCACACACGTCGCAACGGAACGGCCTCTCGCCCGTGTGGGTCCTGGCGTGGATCCGCAGGGTGGAGGAGACGGCGAACGACTTGGGGCAGAGGTCGCAAGCGAACGGCCTCTCGCCGGTGTGAGTCCTCTCGTGGCTGCGGAGGGCCGATGGCTGCGTGAAGCGCCGGTCGCACACGGGGCAAGCGAACGGCCTCTCGCCCGTGTGGGTCCTGCGGTGCTTCTCCATGTGGCCCGCGCGGTCCGTCACGTAGGGGCAGTGGTCGCACTCGTGGCGGTTACCCGGGGGACGCTCGGCAGGCCTCCGCTCCATGCCCGTGGGTTTTGCGCTACCTGGATAAAAGCAGAATGGAAAAACGGTGGCGAAAGCTATTTTTTAAATCCTTTATATTAAGTTCGCTTGCTTGCTTACGACCGTGCAAATCTTTCGGTCGTTTTTTAACCCACTTCCCGTGATCCAATCGAGCTGACATTTTGCACACAGACTCGTTGTGCGAGACAATTAATGTTCGTGAAATTTTTTTTCCAAAATTTTACACAGTTTAGGGAAAACTAATTAAATATTTAATTACCAATTGCTTAATACTGGCAGACAATCATCTGACCCATAGGTGGCAGCCATCTCAAGCCAGAGGACGAGAGGACACTAGCCGCCACGCATATAAAGGATTTATAGTGAAAAACTTTGTTTTTACGGGTTATACTTGTTTTTATTTCTGCGTAGCTCTTCTTCAGTCATCGTGACTGGAATGCAGAGCCGGTCCACCGGAACTCCTGAATACCGAAGAAGAGCCATATCGTTTTGTTTGGCAGTCTCCTGCACCGAGTAGAGGACTGTCCACCCCTCATGGTGGCAGGAGCCAGAGCCGATCCACCGGACCTCCTGAATACCAAAGAAGAGCCACATCGTTTTGATTGGCAGTCTCCAGCACCGAGTAGAGGACTGTCCACCCCTCATGGTGGCAGGAGCCAGAGCCAGTACACCGGACCTCCTGAATACCAAAGAAGAGCCACACCATATTGTTTGGCAGTCTCCTGCACCATGTAGAGGTCTGTCCACCCCCTCATGGTGGCAGGAGCCAGAGCCGGTCCACCGGACCTCCTGAATACCGAAGAAGAGCCACACCCTGTTGTTTGGCAGTCTCCTGCACCGAGTAGAGGACTGTCCACCCCTCATGGTGGCAGGAGCCAGAGCCAGTCCACCGGACCTCCTGAATACCGAAGAACCACACCATATTGTTTGGCAGTCTCCTGCACCGAGTAGAGGACTGTCCACCCCTCATGGTGGCAGGAGCCAGAGCCAGTACACCGGACCTCCTGAATACCAAAGAAGAGCCACACCATATTGTTTGGCAGTCTCCTGCACCATGTAGAGGTCTGTCCACCCCCTCATAGTGGCAGGAGCCAGAGCCGGTCCACCGGACCTCCTGAATACCGAAGAAGAGCCACACCCTGTTGTTTGGCAGTCTCCTGCACCGAGTAGAGGACTGTCCACCCCCTCATGGTGGCAGGAGCCAGAGCCGGTCCACCGGACCTCCTGAATACCAGAAATCCAGGCGGTACCGGTCCAGCTCCCGACAGAGGAGTGGCAGCCTCTCCTCTGCAGCGAGCGTTCGGACATTCCACGTGGCCACCCAGTGGCTTTTTGCCGTTTCTGGAGGAAAACCGAGGGTAAGAATTCAGTCTCCTGGCTCCGCCAAATGGGGTTTGGCAAGAATACGTCATGGACGCCCGTCCCCCCGGGGGCCTCCGGCACAAGCTTTGCTCGATATTTATCCCGCGTTTTTGTGGTACCTGCATTGAAGGTGGAGGGGTTACCAGTCCCCTCGCACCCGTCCAGAGCCGCCATTGGCCAACTTTGATGGCCACAAGTGCCAAGAAGGTGTAGAGCCCATTTTCAAATTGGCTGTTCTCCCCATGGCATTGCTCACCACAGCGATACCATCAACCGAGGAAGTAGGGGGTTGTTTTTGCCCGACACACAAGACTCACACATCGGTCCATCTCTTCTCACCCAGTCACTCACTCACCCACGTACTCACCCATTCACCCACCCACTCACACACTCACCCCGTCACACATCAGTTTTTCTCTTCTCCAGCCCATGCCATGCTCGTTTAGCCCTCTCTATCAGTCACTAACTCACTCACCCATTCACCCAACCACACACACCCACCTACTCACACACTCACCTCACCCACTCACCTCACCCACTCACCTCACCCACACACTCAACAACCATTTACTCATTCACCCACTCACCTACCCGCTCACCTCAACCACTAACTCACAGACACACCTCACCCATTCATCTCACCTCACCCACACATTTACCTCACCCATTTACGCACTCACCTTACTCACCCACCTCAACCACTCATCCACCCAACCACTCACCCACACTCACCTCACCCACTCACTTACCCACACACTCACCTCACCCACACATTTACCTAATCCACACACTCACCTCACACACCCCACACACACTCACCCATCCAATCACCCAACCACACTCACCCACACTTACTCATCGGTCTATCGCTTCTCCAGCCAGTACCACTCACCCATCCACCCACTCACCCACCTACTCACCCACCCACTCACTGACTCACCCACACACTCACCGACCCACCCACTCACCCACACTCACCGACCCACCCACTCACCCACCCACCCACACACCCACCTACACACCCAACCACCCACACACCCAACCACCCAAACACCCAACCACCCACCCACACACCCAACCACCCACTCACCCACCCAACCACCCACTCACCCACCCAACCACCCACTCACCCACCCACCCACCCACCCACCCACTCACCCACCCACTCACCCACCCACCCACCCACTCACCCACCCACCCACCCACTCACCCACCCACCCACCCACCCACTCACCCACCCACCCACCCACTCACCCACCCACCCACTCACCCACCCACCCACCCACTCACCCACCCACCCACCCACCCACTCACCCACCCACCCACCCACACTCACCCACCCACACACTCACCCACCCACCCACCCACACACTCACCCACCCACCCACAAACCCATCCACACACCCACCCACACACTCACCCACTCACTACCTCGCCCACACACTCACCTCACCCACTCACTCACCCAAACACTCACTTACCCACCCACTCACCCAAACACTCACTCACTTACCCACCCACTCACCCACACACTCACCCACTCACTCACTCACCCACACACTCACCTCACCGACTCACTCACCCACTCACTCACTCACCTCACCCACCCACTCACTCACCTCACCCACCCACCCACTCACCTCACCCACCCACTCACCTCACCCACCCACACACTCACTCACCCACACACTCACCCACTCACTACCTCGCCCACACACTCACCTCACCCACTCACTCACCCAAACACTCACTCACTTACCCACCCACTCACCCAAACACTCACTCACTTACCCACCCACACACTCACCCACACACCCACCCACTCACTGACCCACACACTCACCCACTCACTACCTCGCCCACACACTCACCTCACCCACACACTCACCCACTCACTTCCTCACCCACCCACACACTCACCCACTCACTGACACCCACTCACGGACTCACCCACCCACCCACTCACCCATTCATTCACCCACACACACACTCACTGACCCACTCACCTCACCCACCCACCCACACACTCACACACCCACACACTCACCCACCCACTCACTCACCCACACACTCACCCACCCACTCACCTCACCCACCCACACACTCACTGACCCACTCACCTCACCCACCCACACACTCACACACCCACACACTCACCCACCCACTCACTCACCCACACACTCACCCACCCACTCACCTCACCCACCCACACACTCACCCACCCACTCACTCACCCACACACTCACCCACCCACTCACCTCACCCACCCACACACTCACTGACCCACTCACCTCACCCACCCACCCACGCACTCACTTACCCACACACTCACCTCACCCACCCACCTCACCCACTCACCTCACCCACACACTCACCTCACCGACTCACTCACCCACTCAACCATTTACAGCCAACAGTGCTAATCGGAGGCGCGGGAGGACAACGAACAAACAAGCATTTCTCAATGAACGAGTTTTTCAATATAAATTACGATGATTTAAAAGTTCACCATAGCTCCCAATAGCTTCCTAATATCGAAATCTAAACTATTGCTCATCTGCAATGAGCGGACACCAATGCGGACTGCGTATTCCAATCGCGCCCGCTCATCCGCACTATGTATTCAAACCGCCCGTACCTATACGCGCTACTTATTCTAAAAGCAACCGCTTATCCTCACTACGAAATACATCGCGATTTCTACCGGGCAAGGGGGGGCTTGGGGTGGGCCCACGCCCGCCTCGCCCCCCCCCCCCCCCGGGGGAGAAATCTAGGCAAGACCGAGGCTTGGGCCTATAAGCCCCTCGGTCTCTACGATTCACGGTGAAACGGCCTCAGCCTCCCGGGGGAGAAATCTAGGCAAGACCGAGGCTTGGGCCTATAAGCCCCTCGGTCTCTACGATTCACGGTGGGACCGCCTCGGCTTCCCGGGGGAGAAATCTAGGCAAGACCGAGGCTTGGGCCTATACGCTGCACGGTCTCCGCGATTCGCCTCAGCCTCCCGGGGGAAAAATCTAGGCAAGACCGAGGCTTGGGCCTATGAGCCGCTCGGTCTCCGCGATTCAGGGAGCCACAATCAGTTGGGCGAAGACGCGAGGCCGTGAAACAAACCCTCCCCACCTCGGATGAGTTACTTGTTTGTTTGAGTTACAAAAAGACGATCACTAAATTATTCGAGACGGAGGTTTTTAAAATACTCACAGAAAGCCAAGAACCAAGCCAAAAATAGATTCCAAATAATAAGTGGGCAGTCGGAATCGTTTGCATCGATTCGCGAACCGATTTCTCCGCCATCGGAGTCTGCAGAGAATTGCGGGAAATCGATTCCTTTGAGATTAAATACACAAAGTTTTGGAATCGATGCTCGCGACGATAGCAGCAACAACAAAGGAGGTTTGCCGCAGATAACGATTATTCGAATCGATTCCCTCTGGTGAGGTTTGTGAGGGGGGTGGGGTGGGGTGTGTGGTGGGGGGGGCACAAGCGTCGTGGTGACGTCACCGCCACTTAGTGGCGAATGGCGGTTGTTGTTGTTGTATGTGTGTGTATGTAGTCCGGCAAAAACAACCTCCTACCTCCTCGCGGTGCCGGACGGGCAACACTGTCGTGGGCAGTGCTGTGGGGGGATGGCCAATGCCCATTGGCCTCTCCCCTCATGGCGTCTGTGACCACCACAGTGGCTAAACGGGGGCTCTGGACGGGTGCGAGGGGCTGGTAACCCCTCCACCTTCAATTAACCACCACTAAACTACGAATTAAACATAAACCTGTAACTAATAAGCTTGTGCCGGAGGCCCCGGGGGGTCAGGCTTTTATGACGTCTCCTGGCCAAACCCCATTTGGCGGAGCCAGGAGATTGAATTTTCACCCTCGGGGCTCCTCCAGAAACAACAAAAACCATTGCGGATGGCCACGTGGTATGTTCGAACGCTCACTGCGGAGGAGAGGCTGCCACTCCTCTGTCGGGAGCTGGACCGGTACCGCCTGGATCTCTGTGGCATTAAGGAGGTCCGGTGGACCGGCTCTGGCTCCTGCCACCATGAGGGGTGGACAGTCCTCTACTCGGGGCAGGAGACTGCCAAACAACAGGGTGTGGCTCTTCTTCTGAACAAAAGAATGAAGGGGGCGTGGGAGCGTGGCGGTGAGGTGTGGGAAGCTGTAAGCCCCAGGATACTTTGGGCTCGCCTTCCCATCAACCAGAGGCGAGGAGTGGTGGTCGTGGTTACTTATGCCCCCACCGAAGATGAACATCCGTGGAGGGATGCAGGCAAAGCCGATGAGTCGGACGCTTGCTATGACCTCCTGTCACAGGTGCTGGCTAAAGTGGCCACTCGGGACAGAGTCATCTTGTTGGGTGACTTCAATGCCCGAGTTGGTCATGATGCTGGCACCTGGTCTGGAGTGATTGGAAGGCATGGGCCAGATCAGCTCAATAATAACGGTAGGAGGCTGCTAGATTTTTGTGCAGCCCATGGGCTTGTAATTACCAACACGCTCTTCCGGCATCGGCGCATCCACACAACATCATGGATACATGCCGGGTTCAAGCAAGAACATCTGCTGGACTACATAGTGACGGACCAGCGGATGCGAGCCCATGTCCTTGACACCAGGACCTACCGTGGAGCTGATCTGCCCTCTGACCATCGACTAGTCATCTGTAAGATGCGCCTGCCATTCTTCCACTCCGGTGGTGGGTGTACACCCAGGATCCCATTCCAACCAAAAGTGGCCTGGTCTCAGTTAGCTGATGAAAGTTGCAAGCGAGAATTTCTTCATCGCTTGCAGCTGGGGTTGGCATCGTCCCCCACTCCACCTGATGTCGAGGGTAAATGGGCAAGGTTTAAGACTGTGACTCATGCAGCTGCAATGGCTGCTTTGGGTACGCGGTCCAGACCTCCCCAGAAACCCTGGCTGACAGAGGAGGTGTTCAGGTTAATTGAGAAAAAGCGACAGGCCCACTCTCATCACCTACAGCATCCCACGTCAGAGAATGAGGAGGTTTACCGCAGCCTTCGCTCGGAAGTTCGGAGAGCCGTAAGGCGCTGTAAGGATGGGTGGTGGTCGCTGGTTGCTGAGGAGATGGAGTCTGCCTCAGTGGCCCGCGATCACAAATCACTATTTAACTCCATCAAAAAAGTAACCCGCAGCGCCACACCTATTACCATCATTAGAGGAAAAAACGGTGATCCAATCTCCGACCCCCAGGAACAGGTTTGCAGATTTGCTGAGCATTTCTGTGAGGTCCTGGGGGAGGGAAATTCTCTCAGCCAGGAAAACATCATGGCACAAAGTGGTGATAACCCTGCTGAGGCTGCGGTGCCTCAAATATTGGAAGAGGTCACCCCCTGTAAGTGGCTGGTTGAGGTGCCAGCTGTTGAGGAAGTACTGAGGGCGATCCGGAGTCTGAGACCAGGGAAGGCACCGGGCAGAGATGATCTCCCAAGCGAAATGCTGAGGGAGGGTGGCGTTTGTGCACAGACTGCCCTATATGACATCATAACAACAGTTCCGCAGGACTGGAAGGATGCCCTGGTGGTCCCCCTCTTTAAGAAGGGGGACCGTACCGACTGTAACAACTACAGGGGCATCTCACTCCTCAGTGTGCCGGGTAAGGTCCTGGCAAGGATTATTCAACATCGCCTTGCTAGGCACGCTGAGGAGAGGCTTGCGGAGCCCCAATGCGGTTTCAGGAAAGGGCGGTCCTGCACAGATGCCATATTTTCTGTCCGTCTGCTACAGCAGAGGTGTAGGGAATTCCAAAAAGACCTACATCTCTGCTTTATTGACCTGGTCAAGGCCTATGATACCATCAGTAGGACTTGCTTTCGGAGTCCCTGACCCTCTGCTCACAATCATTAAGGACCTTCATGATGGTGAGCGGGCCCGGGTAAAACTACGTGGCCGGGAGTCGGAGCCTTTCCCTGTACACCTTGGGGTGCGACAGGGATGTCCTCTGGCTCCCACATTATTTAACATCTATTTTGACCGCGTAGTTCGTGAAGCCTTCAATAGCTGTACCGGGGGAATTTCCATTTGGTACAGATATAATGGGAGGCTGATCGATGCACGGGTGCGATCAAGGGATGGCTCCCTATTGGTCAACCACGTTATGTATGCCGATGATTTGGTAATAACTGCTCATTCAGAAGAGGAGTTGGAGACGCTGCTGCTGAGACTGGAGCGTGCCACTATGAGGTGGGGCCTTACCATCAGCCCCACCAAAACTAAGCACCTGCCTGGGTATTTTGTACCATCGGACACTCCACCCCCACAACTCCCAATTGGTGATCGGGCAGTTGTGGAGAGAGTGGAGAGTTTCCCATACCTGGGCAGTGTGCTCCAGTTTATCAGCAGAGGTCTCACTCCGAATCAGTCGAGCGGCAATATCTTTTCATCGGTTGCGTAACGCTGTATGGAAGCTACCTGGTCTGTCGCTCCGCACGAAGCTTCAGGTCTTCTCGGCCACGGTCATTCCCTCCCTTCTCTACGCTTGCGAAACGTGGACCCCCCTAGTGGAGCATCTTCGCCGGTTGGAAACATTTAGGCTGGCCTGCCTACGATCCATCCTGGGTTTAACCAGGCTGGATTGTGTGAGGAGCTCACAAATCCTTAAAAGATCTGGGCAAAGTCCCATCAGTGAGCTCCTCCGGCAGGCAAGGCTGCGTTGGCTGGGTTATGTAGCCCGCATGCCCAGCCACCGCATGCCTAAACAGCTTTTGTTCGGCCGGATCGAGGGGGCTAGATGGGCGCGGCACGGGCTGGAGAAGAGATGGAGTGATGTGGTACAGGAGCACGTGGAGCTGAGTGGACTTGCCGATGACTGGTACCAGCGGTGTCAAGATCGGCCTCAGTGGAGGAGGCTCGTGAAGGACGCTACTGGGCAGTTGGAGGCAGTCGCCCTCCAACAACAACGGAGGGCGGAGGAGCGACGCTCACAACAACGAGCGGAGCGCCGGGTGGCTGAAGCACAGCAAGTTGGTACAGTAGGGGGCACAGGTGGTGCATCAGCCAGTCATCTCAGTCAGTCGACCCATGGCATCTGGGTCTGTAACCTCGTGCCAGCGGGCGTTCGACACTTCACGTGGCCTCAACGTGCACATAACCTGGCACAAGCGCCGTGACGTCACCGCCTCTTTGTGGCGAATGGCGGTTGTTTTGGTGTGTGTGTGGGGGTCGCTCGCCCCCGAGATCCCTCCCTCGATGATGCTAACGGCCGGGCTAACATCATCAATCGCCCCCCCCCGCTGCTAAGCGAACCGCTGCTAGGTTCCTCACCCATGGTGTGGGAGTCGTCGCCCGAGGATTCCCCTCCACCGCGGGTCCGCGTAGTAGGCATGGTTAGATACCGAGTAGTATTATGCCCCCTTTACGCTACCACGATACCTCCCTTTCCTAATCGCGTACCTGCAACCCACACGGAGCGAACGTACGCACACACACACACACAGCTCCGTGCACTCCAACTCCACACTGACTACTCACGTTATGATCGCGCACCTGTATCCTACGCGGAGCGAACGCACGCGCACACACGCAGCTCCACACGCGACACCCACTCTCGCGCCGCTCTGCGCAGCGCTCCCCCGAGGCGAGCCGCAGCGCTTCACGTGTTCACACCGCTCACGAGATCACACGAGGCCACGATTCGCTATTAATGATTTATTATTTGCTACCTGCGAATTGATGCTAGATCAGTATGAGTCGACGAGGCCGGCCTATTCTACCACCCCTGAATCTATTCTCTATTTATCGGCTATGATCCTACTTCACCTTCCTACTCACGGTTCGAAGTATATGGCGTCCTGTGGCTTTTCCTCTATGCCGTCGGGGCACGTCACGCGGACGTCCGGAGGGCAGAGCTGGGAGCCGACTTGCACGCGTGCCTCTTGAAGAGAAGTGAGGAGAGAGACTCCCTACCTTGCTACGCTCGTTTTTATCCTAATTCCCGGACTCGGGCCCCTACCCCCTTCCCACGTCCCGTGCGCCTTCGATATGCTAATCGGATGTGCCGCAAGTTAATTCCTTTCCCACGCATGCCTTTGTTATTGCAGATTATGCGGCGGCGTCCATTACAAAGGTGCGCCGTGGGAATTTGTGCACGGCTCCCCGCGTGCGTCCGCCCTCCCGATTATTCATACTTTCCGCTTAGTGCTTTACCTTCCCGAACAATGGTGCCTGCGCGCTCAAGCGCAACCATCCTAACCATCCGCGACTACGCAAGAGCCGCCGCATTCCTGCTAATTATGCCGTC